TAGTGCAACGTGAATCGACAACCGATTGTATCCTGGGAATCGAACACCGATCAAAACCTCGTGCACCCCGGTGAGGCGGCGAATTCGATTTAAGGAAACCGTGTAAACACGGGCCTTCGGTTTGGTTTGATTTACTTTGATTCTCTGATTTTCCCTACATAGTCTTACACAGGAAATGAACTTAAATCTAACAACGAAGCTCTGTGGAACGTAGCTGAGATCTTTCATTGAAACCTAGGATAAATATAAGTCGTTACATTAAAAAAAAAAAAGTAGTACCCAGTTAAGAATTCGAATATCGAAGAAAAACAATTATTATATACCATGAGGAGCAGGAGCTAAAGAAGATTTTCTTCTGCCAAAGACTTTGACCTACTATCTAGAAACGAATCTATCAACGGAAAAGCCTTTAAGCGGTCCATCTTCAAAGGCTTCCAAGGTACAAACCACCATGGAATCATCCAAAAAAGTCAGTTCATCTGTGTGCAAAAATCTTGTACCTTGAAGCTTAACCTTACCCATATTACTATGTTCGCCTTCTTCTCCCCAAAGGTTCACTGATTCTACCCATAACATTCTTATTTTGCCGATTCTACGAGGCTCCTTGGATGAGGTTGAGAATGAGGATGGACCTGCAATTTCTAATGAAGAACCCTAAAACCCTAATAAACTTCCTCTTTCTAATGTGTTGCAAAAATGTCATTTTAGAGAGATAAGTTGTTAGAGTTTATGGGCTCTTTATATACAGCTTAAAAATGGTAAACGAAAAAGAAAAATCCTAGTGCATTGTTATGGGGCCTTTTCCCCATTTCTATTAAATTTATGTTAATTCAAAATCATACGAGAGAGTAGGTTATCTTCTCTCAATGTAGGTGGTTGAGGCAAAGACTTGTGGACGGTAGGGAAAGGTAAGCAGTTTCATCCCCGCCGGGAATAAAGGCTACGCCACCTCTATTTTGAGGAGTCCTCATTCTTGGCCCCATGAACTGAGCCAGCTCTTCAAAGACTTCTTCATCAAATGAGGCCGGCAATCTATGAAGTTTCCTCTCATAGGGGGAGAGCCTAAAGTAACTTTTACCCACTTCTTGCTCACCTTCCCTCTCCCATTCATAAACCTTCCTAAATTTACCTAAAATGTTATCCCATTTGGTATCGGCAGTCTGGGCATCCCTATTCACCCCATGCCTATTCAAGAATTCAGCAACTTCTATATCTTTATCTGCCCGTGTTGTCTCCCTTCCCGTCGCCACAGTCGAAGCGTCACCTACGGCGAATGCAGCACCCTCTATTGAAGAGCCAGAACCAAAGGATCCACCTTGTTAATGAACCGTCCAAGCTCTAGCCAGCCACAGCATTTCATTAGGTTTCCAAACTGGGCTAACATACTTGTTGAATTGCTTTTCATCTCATGGGGTCATTTTAGTCGTTGTACATTTCTTCTTTATTCTGTTAGTGATATCAACATATATATACATGGCCTGCTGGTGCACTCCAGCTAATTAATTGAAAATAGAAACAGAATTTCCCACAATTTTCCTCTCATCTTCATCTTTCTCCTTCTACATTTTAAGATGGTATCAGAGCATTGAAGCTTCCACACGTCAATGGCGAAGGATTTTGATGTTCAAGCAGAGATCGAAGCTAATTCTCCAGTCAATCGAATTCCTGGAGCAGCTGAAGATGCAATTTCGGCAATGAATAGATTAATCAGTGATCCAAATAGCCAATACTATCTACATTATGGCGATAACACTGGAATGCAGCTCATTTCAGTCATACTTGCTGAGGACAATTATGCGACATGGAGTCGTGTTGTCATCATGGCCCTCAGTGTGAAGAACAAGGAAGAGTTTATTGATGGATCAATTGAAGAACCGCATCAAAAGGATGTGCTTTACCGTGCTTGGATGAGATGTAACCATGTGGTGTCCTCATGGATTATTAATTCAATTCCAAAAGAATTATACCCAAGCGTGATGCACAAAGAGTCAGCAAGACAGATCTGGATCGAACTGAAAGATCGGTACAGCCAAGGTAATGGACCTAGAATTTATGAAATTAAGATGTAAATCGCTTCTATTTCACAGACGAACAATTCTGTGAATGCGTATTTTAATAGACTAAAAGGACTCTGTGAGGAACTTGAGAATTATAGACCTAGTGTTGACAAGGTTGATGACAAGTCTGAGGATCAAATCATACAGTTTTTGATGGGATTAGATGACCAATTTTCAAATGCTACGAGCCAGATCTTGCTGATGGATCCACTTCCTCCACTCAATAAAGTTTTTACCCTAATCCTACAAGATGAAAAGCAATTCAACATGCCATTTCTGAACTGTTGGCGAAATATCTGTTCACCCTCAGGATTGCTGGTTTCTTGGCCGAAAGACGCAGAGCGGAATTGCAGAGGGGAATGAGAAGGAGATGATGTCGTTTCTGATGATGAAGCAGCCGAGTTCTTAGGCTGAGGTGGATGTGGATTTGCGATGGTGGTAGTAGGTGCAGAAGGAGAAGGGGTTGATTCTGTGCTCAATATGTTCACCTGGCTTTGCTTTTGCTGAGACGGAGATGGCAATAATTTCCACGACCTGTTGTGTGTCTCGGTCTCTTTGGATTCAAAGCTTCAAATTGCTGCTGTTGTTCAAGTGAAACTGGAGTTCCACCACTCGGGATGTATATAGGCGGAGGAATAAACGAAGTGCCACCAGAAACCACTATTCCCAGTGGCTGCTGGTGGCTTTGCTGTGGTGGTCGGGTGGTTTCTGTTGATTCTCGATCTGGGTCATTCGGAGAATTCGATAAATGCTGTTGTTTCTTGGTAGTTTCTCTACGTCACCTATTTTCTCTGATAACAAAACCTCAAACTAAAGCAGAAAGAACAAGATTAACGTTGCTATGGAACGCGATCGCCATAAATAAGTTGCAATATTTCTGTGCCTGTTTCTTCTCTAAAGGGTCTCTCAGCAAGGCTGGCTAGGATTCTGATTTCAGATTGCTTTTGGACCTAGTTTTGTACGGGGTCATCAAAAGGGAAAGTTGATGGAAAGAAAAGTGATTGTTAAACATTTATTTGAAGCGGCAGAAAAAAAGTCGAAATTTCTGAACTCGCTATGAATAAGACCTTTCATTTACATTTTAGAAACCCTTTATTTTTTTATTTACTTGCAAACTTTGTTATCCATTGTATTAAGAGAGATAGATACAGCAGGAAAGAAAAGTACAGCGTGGAAAGTTTGATTATTGTGTAATATAATGATTATACTGCAAAAACGCGGCTCTAACATTTTTGGTTTCAAAAAGAGTAATTCATGGTTTTGTGTAGTATACAAATTAGGTTTCCGACTTCTGGCGAGTGAGAGCACACTGTAGAGGGGATGATAGAGACTGCTCGTATTGATGCACCCATGACTTGCAGGCTACTTATATTTTTGTGGGATTTTCCATTTTCT